TGCCTCTCGCGATGAGTCATGACAACGGATTTTGGTGGGATTTTGGCTATATTTATTCAAAGGTGGCTTTTGCATGTATCTTTACAGAAGCAGCAAAGAGATCCGCTTCAGAAACGTGCGTGGCGCGGCTGCAATAAACCATAAACTGTATAAAAACAAACAAGCATTAGGCGCGTTTCCATTACAGATTTGCGCAAAACTTTGGCGATATTTTCTGAATGTCGATAAAAAAAAAGTATTGCGAAATGACGGCGTTTCCATTAACCAATGTTATGCGACTGAAACGTGACCTTTTGCCTCTCGCGATGAGTCATGACAACGGATTTTGGTGGGATTTTGGCTATATTTATTCAAAGGTGGCTTTTGCATGTATCTTTACAGAAGCAGCAAAGAGATCCGCTTCAGAAACGTGCGTGGCGCGGCTGCAATAAACCATAAACTGTATAAAAACAAACAAGCATTAGGCGCGTTTCCATTACAGATTTGCGCAAAACTTTGGCGATATTTTCTGAATGTCGATAAAAAAAAAGTATTGCGAAATGACGGCGTTTCCATTAACCAATGTTATGCGGCTAAAACGTACCCTTTTGCCTCTCGCGATGAGTCATGGCAACGGATTTTGGCTATATTTATTCAAAGGAGGCTTATGCGTGTATCTTTACAGAAGCAGCAAAGAGAGCCGTTTCAGAAACGTGCGTGGCGCGGCTGGCATAAACCATAGACCGTATAAAAACAAACACAAGCATTGAGTGGCCGTAATCAGCTTCAGTGACCTTATCAGAGCCACACTGCACCGCAGACGTGTGCAGTGTAAATTGTCTAAGTATTAATAGTAGGGAAAGCCCCTTATACTGGAGCGCGGCCACTTGTGAAGTGTTTCTTGGAGGTTATAGTACATTGAAGAATGATCATTACTTTTTACATACGCCATGTGACCTGTAAATGCGAAAAAGCCGTTTCCATTGCAGCTTTGCGAATTAATCCTTTTGCGCATTGCCTGAAAAACCACCTCATGCGAGCGTAAACTTTTTTGCGATATATGGCCGTTTTTGCGTAATTGTCCCGTTTCCAATTAAGCGTATTTTCAATTCGCAATTTCAATTTGCGCAATTTGTAGGGTAATGGAAACGCGCCTGGCCGCAATCGGCTTCAGAGGCGCATTTCCATTACCCTTAAATTGCGCAAATTGCGAATTGAAAATACGCTTAATGGAAACGCGTCAATTTCGCAAAAAAGTTTACGCTCTCATGAGGTGGTTTTTCAGGCAATGCGAAAAAGGATTAATTCACAAAACTGCAATTGAAACGGCTTTTTCGCATTTTCATGTCACATGGCGTATGTAAAAAGTCATATGATCATTCAGTGTACTATAACCTCCAAGAAACACTTCACAAGTGGCCGCGCTCCAGTATAAGGGGCTTTCCCTACTATTAATACTTAGACAATTTACACTGCACACGTCTGCGGTGCAGTGTGGCTCTGATAAGGTCACTGAAGCTGATTACGGCCACTCAATGCTTGTGTTTGTTTTTATACGGTCTATGGTTTATTGCAGCCGCGCCACGCACGTTTCTGAAACGGCTCTCTTTGCTGCTTCTGTAAAGATACACGCATAAGCGTCCTTTGAATAAATATAGCCAAAATCCGTCAAATCCCACCAAAATCCGTTGCCATGACTTATCGCGAGAGGCAAAAGGTTACGTTTTAGCCGCATAACATTGGTTAATGGAAACGCCGTCACTTCGCAACTTTTTTTTTATCGATATTTAGAAAATATCGCCAAAGTTTTGCGCAAATCTGTAATGGAAACGCGCCTAGAGCCACACTGCACCGCAGACGTGTGCATTGTAAATTGTCTTAAGCATTGATGGTAGGAAAAGCCCCTTATACTTGAGAGCGGCCAGGTATGAAGTGTTTCTTGTAGGTTATAGTACATTGAAGAATGACTTTTACATACGCCATGTGATCTGTAAATGCGGGAAAAAAACGTTTCCATTGTAGTTTTGCGAATTATCACTTTTTCGCATTGCCTGAAAAACCACCTCATGCGAGCGTAAACTTTTTTGCGATATATGGGAGTTTTTGCGAAATTTGACGCGTTTTCATTAGGCGCATTTTCAATTCGCAAGTTGTCTGATCTACAGTTTGCATGACCGAAATAAGCCTGACTCCTTAACTTGCTGCTAACCTGTTTACGCACCCTTAGATGTGCTTTTCACATCTGCTCCACCGCTCCTTTGGATAACCTGCAAGAGACAATCATCTGTTACCATCAACTAAGAGACCTGAAACCTTTACATCTGCATATTAGGCTACTCGCCTTCTGATCGTTGCTTCTCATTGCCACAGCCCGTCTGTCAATAAAACTCCTGTTTTGCATACTTATCTCTGTGTTTCTAGCCTGTTTGCTGACAATTAATTAATAGGCTATATGGTTAATTTTTCTAAGGGAAGTCGTAGAAGTTAGCCATCTTACGTAACCTTTCACACAGTAATTGCATTTCGTCAGCTAATAATATAAAAACAAATGCTAAGGAATCATATGATTAGGATCTTAAACAAAAATCTCACCTTTCAGAACAAACATTGATAAATGTCTCCGCGATGTTGGTCACTTCTGTTCCCTTAAACATTTCTAATGTGGTCTGAGTATTTGCACCGCATTTCTGTCTTTATTTGGTTGTGTTGTGAGCATTTGTAGAGTGTTGTCAAATTGATGATGTTTTCTTAATTTGCAGGTGTTTTTTTTCATTTGCAACGCGTTGAGCTCTCTAGGCCACCGTAATTCTCTTGTATTAAGAAAGTAAAAAAAATAAAACGCTGAGAGCCGCGTTAGAAAAAGGCTCTCAAATGGGAGCCGACTCATATCGTTCACTTAAAGGAGCCGGCTCATTTGCAAACGACACCTCACTAATGAAGTCTGGTCTGAACTTGTATCTAGTTCCATCCATGAGCTACATTTTTTATATGTTTTTAAACTACACATGACCTACTACAGGGATTGGCAACTCTGGTCCTGTGGAGGGCCACCCTCCTGCAGAGTTTAGCTCCATCCCTTATCAAACATACCTAAAAAATCGAACCTTTTGGATCTTAAGAATTGCTTAAATTATAGGCAGGTGTGTTTGTTTAGGGATGGAACTAAACTCTGCAGGACAGCAGGCCTCCAGGACCAGAGTTGCCAAACCCTGACCTCCTATATTTGCCAAATTTGGCAGTATATACTCTCAGAAAAAACAATTGTCACTGGGGCTGTACCTTTTTTTTTAAAAAACCTCTGTACTATATTAACCCCTAAAAGGTGCATATTTGTCCCTTAAACGTACACATTAGTACCTTAAGTGTACATATTAGTACCTAAATGGTATGTATAGCGACTTTTTAAATGCTTCTGCCCCAAGTGACAACGTTTGTACCTTTATTCTGACAGTGTACAATTATAGCACACTTAGTGTAATGTGCTTAACTTCCATTTTAAGAGTGGCCATTGAGACGGAAATAATACAAATTTTAACATCTCTCATGACTCATTATTGGAGACTGCCGAAGACTGTTTCATGTTGTCGTCTTGTTTTTTAGAAAAAAGTATGCAGTATGTTTATTACTTGGTCGCTGGAGTCACAATTAGGCTGAAAGGTCTTTAAGCTGTTAAGCTAAAAGTTATTGCACAGCCCAAATGCCACCGTTGTGTCCCTGTGTAGACTACTTGACAGTATCAAGTTCTGTAGAATATTACAGTGTGGTATAACACACTGGAGTTGAGTAGAATGACAGTCAGCTGATAATATGGACGGTTTGGTACAGAACAGAGTAGTGGTGTATTGGGCTACCACAGTGTGAAAAAAACAAGGGTGAAGTTCAGTATAGTTAAGAATAGATTTTATCTGTCATTTTATCTTTCAGTCTGTAAAAACTTTAAACCTTCAAACTTTTTACACCTTTTCAACATTTTCTTTCAAGCTCACTAAGGTTGTCTTGACTAACTTTACTTGTCTAGTAGTAAAAATGTAGGACTTGCAGTAGGGCTGTGCAATTAATCGCATGCAATTGTCATGCGCATCTCGTCAGTAAAGCCGTTCCGTGATTAGTAGTAAATCTCCATCACCTGCTTTTTTTACTACACAGAGCCGTAGTTCACTGACAATTAGGCAATATCGCGTTCATAATCAAATGCAATTAATCTGCGATTATGAACACGATATTGCCTAGCTTGTCAGTGAACTATGGCTCTGTGTAGCTGCTCTATTTAAAGATGTCTATCAATGCAAGCAAGTGTCATTTGGTCAGTACTTGTCTTTTGAATATCTAGGGATTGTATTGAAAGGTGCTCCACACATTCTGTTTATCATTATTTACAGGCCTCCAAAATACTCTCCAGCCTTTGTTGAAGAGTTCACAGAAATGCTATCAATGATTTCCTGAGTTTGACTGTTTTGCTATTGCAGGGGATTTTAATATTCACATAGATAATGCAGAACACAAAATAAATTATAACTGTTTTAAACACTTTTGACCTGATTAAGATAATAAATGATATTTGTTTAAATTCTGAATCTGGCAAAATATCAGTGCTGGTACTACTAGATCTCAGTGCTGTGTTTGACACGGTCGATCATAACATACTTCTAGAGAGACTGGAAAACTGGGTCGGGCTTTCTGGGATGGTAATCAAACGGTTCAGATCATACTTAGAAGGGAGAGGTTATTATGTGAGTATAGGAGAGCATAAGTCTAAGTGGACATCCATGACATGCGGAGTCCCACAAGACTCAATTCTTGCACCGCTCTTGTTTAGCCTGTATATGCTCCCACTAAGTCAAATAATGAGAAAAACCAAAAGTCCAGGCTAAGGAAAACTAAACTGAACAGAAGCGGGACAGTCGTGAATTACTAGTTAATATTAGTTACTATAATGTTCACATTGCATCACTCATTTGTTCCTGTGTAGTTGTTTATTAATAAAGGAACAATGTTCCTAATACTACGTTCCTAATACTATTATGATTGGTTTCCAGTATGCAAACTGTGAAGCTGTGGCTTACTACAATGTGACAGTGAGGAAAGTATCCGGGGAACCCAGCAATCAGGACAGTTTCAGAACTAAAGATTCATCTCTCACCCTGATCCTGTCTTACTCTGCATACAACATCAGTATCAGAGCTGTAAACACTGCTGGATCATCTCCTGATTCCAGTATAGCCACTGAGCAAATGGATGAATGGAGAGGTACATTACTTTTATATTTTCTTGAATGCTATACATGCAGACTCTGGTTAGCCTTATGGGCTATATTCTTTGGGTGAGAAATGTTGACATGTTGCTGTTTGTAAATGCTGTGTATTATTTACATTTTTTAGATTCGTTTGGGCCATTCAGTGTCAACATAACCAGCAAGAACAATTTTAGTCTGTCCTGGATCAGTTCCATCTCAAGTGTTTGTTACTCTGTGGAGTGGTGGGCCAAAGGACAGATACCAACTTTTTGTCCATTCTACGCAAAGCAGACGCACAAAGAAATAACTGGGAAAACTGACAGCTGTAGGGGGAAAGGACGTGACATGTGGCCAAGTATGGTGACCCATACTCAGAATTTGTGCTCTGCATTTAACCCATCCAAGTGCACACACACACACACAGGAACGAACACACAGAGCAGTGGGCAGCCATATTGCTGCAGCTCCCAGGGAGCAGTTGGGGGTTCGGTGCCTTGCTCAAGTTACTCACCTCAGTCGTGGTATTCACTCCCCCCACCAACAATCCCTGCCAGACCCGAGACTCGAACCCACAACCTTCGGGTTACAAGTCCGACTCTCTAACCATTAGGCCACAACTGCCCCCCATGTCCAAAACATTATGTGAAATCTTTGTTTTTATGGTGTAATCATATTTCTAGTATTATTTAAAATATTGATTTTAATAACTAAAAATCTGGTGTAAATATCTTGTGAAAAGTAAAAAAATAAAAATTAATTACACACTGAACACGTGTGTTTATTTTTAATCATAATTTTTTATTTTATTTTATTATTGTTATTTTTAGAATAAATTCTTAGGTCTAAAGACAAATAAATAATGTTTTCTATCAGCATAGTAGACGCTTTTGTATATATTTTACCTTAATTGTAGACAATGATAATTAACAGCTTTATTTATTCACAGCATTCAGATAGTGTTCATTAATGTTCAACTTTTTTGTCTGATGCAGTTTTTCAGCCATATACAAGATATTATTTCATCCTGCACACCAGACCGTACCCAGACACATGCAACATGAAGAATATAAACAACAGTGAGACGACCTATGGCACAGCCCAAGTTTACTTCACTGAAGGAAGTGAGTCTAAATATTCATATATGATAAAACTACTAATATATGCTAAATAGAACAGCTAAGATGTTCAGGCAGATATACTCTATACTGGTGCTGATACATTCACAGAAAAAAAGTGCAAAAATTATTTTAGGGGTTCCTTTAGTTGTACCTGTTGTACTTTTAGGGGTAGAGCTTGTCACTTGGGCAGTACCCTCAAAGACACCCCCAGGATCCCCTTCTAAAAACACAGATATGTGATTTTATATATATATATATATATATATATCCTGAACTCTGCCAGAGAAACATGTGCTATTGTGTGAGGTAAAAAATAAAGGCTAAACACTGAAAATTTACAGTATTTACAGTCAGATTATCTACAATTATAACTGCTCTGCTCTAGTTTCCTGGTAATAGTTACAGCAGGAGATAAGAAGATTCTAGATATCCACTGCATCATTGTGTCTGAATGATCTGAACTCTTTGGGATTTTAGGTCCTATCAGTGCTCCTGGGAATGTGAGCATTTTGAATATTACCCAGCATTCCTCAGTAATCACATGGTGCCCCATGTCTGAGAAAGACCTGCGTGGATTCTTATTAGGCTACTACATCTACTTGACATGGGACAATAATGAAACATGTGAGTAGTAGTCAATCATAAGTTTATTATGTGTACATTTATAAATGTTTTATTTTAAAGTTATTTAAAAAAAAATATTTTATATTTTTTATATTTAAAAATAAATATTAGGTACATTACTAGTAGATTTTAAATTACCATTAGAAAGTGTGTGTTTTTTAATATACTATCCCTTAAACTTGTGTCTGATTTTTAACACTGTTTCTAAAAAAAAAAAAAGAATAAATCTGACAAAAAAAAAAAATCAAATATTGTGAAGTAAGCTAAAATTTCGAGAATCACTTTACCACTTGTTTATCTTCTGTTCTTATGTCTTAAAAATGTAGTTTAATTTTTTTAATGATTCCCAAGGTAATAGCTCACTAATTACTGGAAAACCATTTGACAAAATGTTGATGACAATTGGGACATTGCATCAAAGTATGATTTGATAGACCATACTTTCAGAGAGTTTCAAGTTCGTAATAGGAAAATAAAAATTTAATTAAATTCTCAGTTCTCAAGAATCAGTGAAACCCAACTGATAACTGAAAATGTGACATTTTTTAATGGCAGTCTTTTTGTTTTGTTTATTCTTCAAATATTAAGCCTTCACAGTGGATCCTAGCATAAGCAGTTATGAGCTGCAGAATCTTGTAAGCAACAGTGTGTACCGCGTGCAGCTGTCTGCATTTACAGCGGCTGGAGAAGGAGAGCGGAGTGATTTCAAACACTTTGTCAAAAACCCACTAGGTAAACTCATATTTTTCATGAGATGATAACGTCTCAGGTTACTTATGTAACCATGGTTCTCTGAGTAGGGAACGAGACACTGCGTCCTCTAGGGGTCGCTATGGGGAACGCCTCGTCGTGACCCGTGTCTGAAGCATACATTGAAAAAACACCAACAACACGTTGGCCAGCGACAGCCTATGAGGTGCTGTGTGTACATTAATGAGGGAAAAAAATGAACTTAAATGATTTTAGCAAATGGCTGCAATATAACAAAGAGTGAAAAATTTAAGGGGGTCTGAATACTTTCCGTACCCACTGTATATATAGAATGGATCATACTCACCCACCATGGTCCCTGCGATGGAGCCCTGTTCAAGAGGTTATAGGGGAATTAGGAGCTAAGGGCAGATGTAAGACCCCCGAAGGAAATGAGTAGATACTCAAGTATCACTCTGATCCGGACAAAAGCACTGATGCCTTGTCTGGATCACATCCCTAGGTCTTGCCTACCTCCCTATGACCCGCAATTCCTTCTAACCCTACCGCAGGCGGGGGAGGAGCGAGAGCCGCGACACTAGCCTTCTGTGGCCGTCTCTGATCCTCAGACCAAGACGGACCAGGACCCCTATGCTGTTCAGGCTTAGACCTGGACCATCGTGAAATGAAGGACTGAAGGCCGCTGAGCGCGCCTTTTCCTCCCTGAACTTCTCGACCACCGTCTCAACGGAGGTAACCAAAAATATTCGGAAGGCGAAACCGGCGCATTGAGAAGAAAGCCCCTCTCTTCCATCCCGATATCTGCCAGGTTCACCCACAGATGTCTCTCAATACCTACTATAGCTGCCATGCTTAGTATCACAGAGAGTGAGATCTGTGGAGCGGCGAATATCAGCTACATCATCAGGTCTTTATCCAGGTCTTCCAGCAGGTCAGCCTAATATGCCTGGAGCACCGCATTGTGCGCAACGAAGCAACAGCCTGACCTGCTGCTGCGTATGCCCTGCCATCTAAGCGAGATGGCAAGGAGGGAGTTTTAAGAGAGGACGCCTCACCCATAGAAAGATAGCCAGCCAGTCGTCTTTTTTACAGGGGCATCCTCTCATAGTAGTTTCCGCGCATCGCCTCGATGATGGCATAACTCGTATGAATGCATAAGAAAATTAACGCTCAAAACTCACCATACGCATAGCAGGAGGATTGGGAAGGCCGTCCTCAGACATCTCCTGCTCTTACCGGGCTGAACCCAGCAGAGCACCAGCCCCCGGATCAAACGATGTTAAAGAAATAACATCATCCACCAGCAGCTTACTCTCGTCCACAGCCGACGAGCGTGAGAGGGAAAACCCCTTTTTAAACTCATCAGCCAGATCCACCTGCGATCCCCATGAGCACATCCTCCTCCGTGCCTCAGCAGTGGTGGGTCCTGAGCCGCGGGAAGCAGATGGCTGCCCCCCTTTCCTCGAAAAGAGAGACAAACGAGAGCGGAGCTTTTCATTAAAATATGCTCACAATGAACGCGGATTGCCACCTCAAGGACATCGCGTGCGTGCTCTTTGCCTAAACAAACAACGCAGAGATCGTGTGTCATCAGGTGTCAAATAACGACAACGCATTATTTATACATACACCCTCTAAACGCTTTGCTAGTGCTCGCCATAACGATAGGAATATAGATCGCTCTTACCACAGAAATGCACGCTTCAAACAAAATGGTCAGTGAAGACGAAGAAGAGAATGACATGTTCTCCCGGCGCCTATTTATACTATAATTGCACCAGTAGTGATGTCATGGGCTGTTGCCTGCCAACGTGTTGTTGGAGTTTTTTCAATGTATGCTTCAGACACGGGTCACAACGAAGCGTTCCCCATAGCGACCCCTAGAGGATGCAGTTCGAAGTTCCTTTGAAAGGGAATGTCTGTTATCGAGCTGGTATTCGAGGTTTATCTGTTCACGATGCACAGTAAATGTCTGGAGGTTTGTTTTTTTAATTACATGGATTGAAATAGTCAAATACGTACTGACTATATGGCTCATTCTGACAGAATTCACAGCTTTGAACAGCATTATAGCCGCGGTCGTTGTGGGAATAATAATTATTTTACTAGCAGTTCACCTCAGCTGTCGACTTCTGCACAGGTAGAGACATGCATTTTATGTTCTGAATAATTGCCACTATATAATCGATCACTATCACTGCATGTGTGTTATCTAATATAGAGCTCACTGTGCATTTTTACAGAGCCAAGAAACTGCTGTGGCCGAATATACCAAATCCTGAGAACAGCAACGCTGTTCAGAAAATTGAAATAGCCTATGAACTGGTAAGCAAGAGACAATATAATGATGGAACCATACATTTCATTGTCAAGGAAAAGAATATACAAAAAATGATATGAAAAAATGAACTAATGAGACAATGATGACCTGAGATGGTAATACAATGGTTTATATGATACGCCAAGGTACTTCACAGAATATGATTTTCTTACCATATGATTGTCAAAAAAGCATATTTGTTTGTTATTTGTTTTATTATTATTATTTTTTTTTTTACAAATATTGGAAATCATTCATAATATAATTTCATGAACTTTCTCATAAAAACATTAAATTATCTGATGCTTTAAGAGACGTATTGAGCCATAAGGGTCTTTAGAGGTCTGCTCTTTGATATTATTTACTGTGTTTTTTTAATGCATGATTCTGCTTGTTTGGATCACATGAGATTGATTTTGAAAACAAATATATTTCAAAAATTAATAAGCTGTGAAGGCTTGTTTGTTGTTTTTTTTCCTAAGAATTAATACTTAAAGATTATGCCAAACTATTTTCAAGAATTTCATTGATTTAACAAACTGGCTTTCTTCATTATATCAGGGCAGTTGTATCAACCTGAAATTTTTGACTTTATGACACCCAAAGAAATATAAAAATGACTTAATACAACTATTAAAAACATGCACATCATAGAAGAAGTGTATCCAAGTAAGTATTTGTACGCTACCATTCAAATGTTTGCATCAAAAGTATCTTATGTTTACTAAAGCTGCATTCATTAGATATTGTGAGATATTATTACAATTTAAAATAACTGTTTTCTCTTTTATTATATTTGAATATGTAATTTATTAATGTGATGACAAAGCTGAATTTTGCATTTTTAAAGTTTTTTAAACCAATTACCATGAATCATACTGAATGATTACCATGTTTATATATCATGGTATTTATATGGTATCATGGTATTTACAAGGTATCATGGTACATGTCTAAAAGAACACAGCATTACAATGGTACCATGCCAAGAAAGCCATGAACATCCCATGGAAATTTTTTGTAAGAGTACATTTTTTACTCCATTCCAGTTCAGATGTTTGAACATATTTATGAGTGAAATCACTTTTTGAATCCTTTGGCCACTTTCTGCCATGTGTTTCTTCTGCAGGGTATCCTGGAGCCACTGAACAGACAGAGGTTAGAGCAAAGTGAGGGATGTGATTCCAGTACAGTGTGTGTCGTTGGGAGCAAGAGGGAGGCATCTCCTCTCTGTAGCCCTCCCACTGCTCAGGCTGGTGTGCCCACTACCCTTCTCCTCAGTGAAGATGAGGACAGCCCATCCATCCCGGAGCAGATCGCACCACCTGACACCCCAACACAAGTCCCCACCAACGAGTCAGGTTCCACAAAGACCTTCCCTATGGACTTTAATAAGACAGACTCCACTTTGAACACTTCTGTTGATGAAGAAATCACAACCTTTGTAAGCAAAGACCCTGGAGAGACCATCTCCAACACGACAGGATCGGACTTCATTCCAACCTCACAACCTGCAGTGGTTTTCATGAGCGATTACACTACCATGGAAATCTTCCAGCAGGTCACTATGGCTGGGATTCAGGGTCCATCCATGCAAACAGAGAAACCTGGATTGGTTCCTGTACATCCAGGGCAGGATTATGTAAGGCAGTCCTATTTTTTACAAGAAACAGTCCAGTAATCCACCAGGGGCATGTAACGGAATTATTGAACCCAGAAATCTCAGTGCTCTGAGATGCTTTTATACAGTGATTTAGAAAACATTTTCTGTATAGACACAGTCCCTCTGGAGCACCCTGAGATTAGGAGCCTCGTTTAAGGGTACAACGTTCATTGTCCTGTTGCTGACTGAGCTTTAACCGCTACTCAACACCTCCTGTAAAAGATGGAATACGCCACCAGTGCTCATGACAGAGTCCACTACATCAATTACATTACATGAATTTTCAGATCTTTATATTGGTTAGCAGAGTTTTATTGTATAAAATATTTATATAAATATATATATATATATATATATATATGTTCTTTTCACATGTTTTGCTAATGGATTTATATTTAGACATTATAAAATCACAATTATAGCATTTAAAAATCTCCTTTTTGTCAAAATTCAGACAATGTTTGTATTGAAGTATGAAGTAGCAAGAGTTTTCAACTCATCGGATCTACTTGAATCACACATATGGCCTATTTTGAATTAAAAACGAAATTTTCAGTGAAAGGTGGCTAGTTTGAATCCTTGTTTACAATCTTCTCAATTTCTCTCAAATGTAAATCAAATGCCCATTCACAAACACGTTTTTTTTTAGCAACAGAGATACTCAGAAATGAACTGATATTTGCCCTCTTAGGCAATGGCGGAGCCAGGATGTTTTCATAGGGCTGACCAGGAAGGGGCCAGAAATCTTCATTATTTCAATATAGAAATGTATTTGACTATACTTGACTGTTTTAATTCCTAAAACACAACTGAATACAATTAATATGTACATAATTGTAATTGAGAATTTGTGAAGTTGTGAATTAGACCAGGTAATACTGAGTGAATATGACCATTTTTGCATTATTTTTGTATTACCTTGAGTTATTTTAATAAAAGGGCTCACTCTAGCTTTATTACTCAGTCAGCTGGTTCTGGGTCTCAACACCCCAAAAGCTTGTTCTCCATCATTGCACAGGGCTACTCAAGGACACATGCAGATAGTTCAAAGTTTAGTCAACCTTCACTCAATTTTATATAATCAGAAATCACAAAAGAAACTGTCAACGTTTAACATTCTATTAGTAGTCAAAATGTATTAATTGCGACAGTTTTGTCACACCTAAATCGAGCTCTGCACAAAGGAAAATAAAAAAGTTATCTTATTTATGATGAAGTGATAGCGTGTGCCTAATATACACTTACGGTGCGTTTCCACTGCAGCGTCAAATCTGCGCTCAGTGCCGCTGGCAACGCTACAATGCCACTACTTTGGGGCGTGTCAAATTTAGGGCAGAGCACGGTGGCGGAGCCAGGATGTTTTCATAGGGCTGACCAGGAAGGGGCCAGAAATCTTCATTATTTCAATATAGAAATGTATTTGACTATACTTGACTGTTTTAATTCCTAAAACACAACTGAATACAATTAATGTGTACATAATTGTAATTGAGAATTTGTGAAGTTGTGAATTAGACCAGGTAATACTGAGTGAATATGACCATTTTTGCATTATTTTTGTATTACCTGGAGTTATTTTATTAAAAGGGCTTTATTACTCAGTCAGCTGGTTCTGGGTCTCAACACCCCAAAAGCTTGTTCTCCATCATTGCACAGGCCTACTCAAGGACACATGCAGATAGTTCAAAGTTTAGTCAACCTTCACTCAATTTTATATAATCAGAAATCACAAAAGAAACTGTCAATGTTTAACATTCTATTAGTAGTCAAAATGTATTAATTGCGACAGTTTTGTCACACCTAAATCGAGCTCTGCACAAAGGAAAATAAAAAAAGTTATCTTATTTATGATGAAGTGATAGCGTGTGCCTAATATACACTTATGCTCTCAGCCGCTGTCAACACTTTCTCCGCGCCGCTTTCAATCCCATAATGCACCGCGCGAGTGTTTAAAGGGGTCATATGATGCGATTTCAATTTTTCCTTTCTCTTTTGAGTGTTACAAGCTCTTGGTGCATAAAGAAGATCTGTAAAGTTGCAAAGACTAAAGTCTCAAATCCAAAGAGATATTCTTTATCAAATTTAAGACTCTGCCACGCCCCCCTAAAACGGCTCGTTCTAACACGTCCCCACATATCTAGGTCACTATGTGGGAATAAATGCACAGCTGCAATGGATGCAATGTACTGATACACGTTCTCAAAACAGACAATTCAACATAATTTTGATGGTTACAAAAATGCTGGGTTGTTTCAACCCAACTTTGGGTCAAATATGGACTAACCCAGCTGTTGGGTTACATTTTTAAATGACATTTTTACCCAAAAGTTGGGTTAGTCCATATTTGACCCAAAGTTGGGTTGAAACAACCCAGCATTTTTGTAACCATCAAAATGATGTTGAATTGTCTGTTTTGAGAACGTGTATCAGTACATTGCATCCATTGCAGCTGTGCATTTGGTTTTAAAGGGAATTTAAATGTAGTAATTTTAGTAATTTAATTCTAATTTAGTTGCTGTCATTGATGTTAATCAAGCAACAAAAGAAAGACAAAATCATGCACTGCTCTTGACTGAAAAACTTTAGTAGCCCTACTAAAAAAAACCATTCGATTTTAGCCGACTAAATTTACTGTAGATTTAGTCAACTAAAATCTTATATTTAGTCGACTAAAACTAAAAATAATTCAGATGACTAAAACTAAATGGCATTTTAGTCAAAAGACTATGACTAAAACTAAATCAAAATTTGCTGTCAAAATTAACACTGATACACACATATATCAGTGGCGTGCGGTGGTGTTTTAAAATGAGGAGGCAGTTTTATTTATAAATATATATATAAACATAAGGACTATTGCACAAAATTAGGGACTTGAAACTTGTCCTGTGCTAATGCTCTGAATAACTTCAAAAACAAGATGGCGAGTTGTACGTGTGCAAGCACCATTCAATTACACAATATGAAAAACACTGCAGTCGATGAGCTGGAAGTATAACTCTTTCATGTAAATTTTATGTAAGGGAAAATCTTTAATATACGTATGTCTATAAACAGATGCACAAAATCACACAAACCAATATCATTAAGTTACTTCTTATTCATATTAGTTCTGCTGCTAACAAGTACTGTATATAATTATATATACCCACTTATAAAATTAGACTGAACAAAAAAAAACTGTATAAAAAAATAAATAATATTCAGAAGCTTAAATTGTACTTATTCTGAAGGAGACAGTAGTCACTGTTAATAACGTTGCTGTGCTCATCCATCAGTAAAGGCTTCTTAGAAAACCTATTAAACATCTGAATATATGCCACACAACAATACTTTGTATGAAGAGATTACTGTAGGACTGTATACACTGGTTCAAACAAAATACAGTTAAAAAATAAGGATAAAACTATGCATTTTACACAAGCTTTCCTATAATACTAGATAAATAACTCTTTTGACTTGATTTACATTGTCATTAAATATTTTGTTGCCACAAACTGTCTAGGCACTTTTAACCTGCTCTGTGTTCCAACACAGTTCACCTGGGGTCCGTTCTTCGTACCTCGCTTAATACATCTGAGATGATTTGAAAGATTACAGATCTAGTACTCGTGATAACTGATCTCTGGCTAATTTGGTTCTTCAAACGAATTTGCGGATTTGATTAAAATATCTGGATTAAGTTGTCTAAGATTAGTGTTCCCCGAAAAGGGCAGATATATCAATACTCGAGACCACGATCAGCAATGCCATACGTAATGACATCCTATAATTAAAAAAGACACATGATGAAAAAATTTGACAAATTTCTGGAAACAGCCAAGCGAACAAAACTACATAAATGTAATAATAGATCAATTAAATGTGCACTGCTTTTATTTTATACATGATTCCCAATTATTTATATTCATGATTTCTAGTATTTGTACAGGCTTTATATTTTTATTTCAGTGTTGTAATTAGCAATTTATTTAATTTTATCTTTGAAGCATATTTGTTACGTGACACTGTTAATTAAAGTTTCTTAAAAAAATTAATAAAATAATAAAAATAAAAGTGACATGTGGCCAAGTATGGTGACCGCGGATTTGATTAAAATATCTGGATTAAGTTGTCTAAGATTAGTGTTCCCCGAAAAGGGCAGATATATCAATACTCGAGACCACGATCAGCAATGCCATACGTAATGACATCCTATAATTAAAAAAGACACATGATGAAAAAATTTGACAAATTTCTGGAAACAGCCAAGCGAACAAAACTACATAAATGTAATAATAGATCAATTAAATGTGCACTGCTTTTATTTTATACATGATTCCCAATTATTTATATTCATGATTTCTAGTATTTGTACAGGCTTTATATTTTTATTTCAGTGTTGTAATTAGCAATTTATTTAATTTTATCTTTGAAGCATATTTGTTACGTGACACTGTTAATTAAAGTTTCTTAAAAAAATTAATAAAATAATAAAAATAAAAGTGACATGTGGCCAAGTATGGTGACCCATACTTGGAATTAGTGCTCTGCATTTATCCCATCCAAAGTGCACACACACAGCAGTGAACACACCCACACTGTGAACACACACCCGGAGCAGTGGGCAGCCATTTATGCTGCGGCGCCCGGGGAGCAGTTGGGGGTTCGGTGCCTTGCTCAAGGGCACCTCAGTCGTGGTATTGAAGGTGAGAGAGAGCGCTGTACATTCACTCCCCCCAACTACAATCCCTGCCGGTACGAGACTCGAACCCACAACCTTTGGGTTACGAGTCCGACTCGGCCAAGGATCAAGATCATGTTATCTGCATCTCCTGCGCTCCATCAAGCCACTCCCATAATAGCTGTCACCACTCAAATTAATGCACGCACAGATTAACTGTATAGCATGTGTGTAAGACTCCCAACACAATATTAAAGAAGTTATTTCATCACGAATACATTTTTCAAAGAGTAAACCTGGCTGTCTAGTGTTATAGATGATGACTACACAACATAATATTTTTTGAATATTTAAATTATGAACATTTTAAATTACTGTCCCTGGATCAGTAGGGTACTCTTCTAATAAAGTAGCAGTGGCGGGGGCAGATTTTAAGTATCAGTTCTGCTTACAAAGATGCGATCTAATCCTGTTGACATGAAATAAGCCTGCTCCCAGCAGGTTTAATCTTAGGGACCTGTTGCTATGACAGCAACTCTGGGATGAGCTTCATGCCAAACCGTCAACAATCAAATCCAGCTAACTGAGTTAGTGAGGTACGAAGAACGGGGCCCTGTAGTGTTATAATACACATGTACTAAATGTATTTTTGTTTTTTAACTCAGTAAATAGAAATGATGGAAAACACCAGGTAGAGTGGGTGAATCTCAAAGTACCCCAAAATCAATTTCTGGCATTATTTCATCACAATTAAGCAACTCCTTTTCCACTTTAATGTAAATAAGTAAAATTAAAGGGGTCATATGATGCAATTTCAAGTTTTCCTTTCTCTTTGGAGTGTTACAAGCTGTTCGTGAATAGATAAGATCCCTAAAGTTGCAAAGACTAAAGTCTCAAACCCAACGAGATATTCTTTATCAAAGTTAAGACTCATCCACACCCTCCTATAACGCCTCATTCAAACACGCCCCCATGTCTATGTCACGATGTGGGAAGATAACACCGCCCAAATGTTCAAGCAAAGAAAGAAGGTGTAACTTTGATTCTCGCTGTAGTATTGTTACCGCCGCCGTTTAAATTACTGTCCCTGGATCAGTAGGGTACTCTTCTAATAAAGTAGCAGTGGCGGGGACAGATTTTAAGTATCAGTTCTGCTTACAAAGATGCGATCTAATCCTGTTGACATGAAATAAGCCTGCTCCCAGCAGGTTTAATCTTAGGGACCTGTTGCTATGACAGCAACTCTGGGATGAGCTTCATGCCAAACCGTCAACAATCAAATCCAGCTAACTGAGTTAGCGAGGTACGAAGAATGGGGCCCTGTAGTGTTATAATACACATGTACTAAATGTATTTTTGTTTTTTAACTCAGTAAATAGAAATGATGGAAAACACCAGGTAGAGTGGGTGAATCTCAAAGTACCCCAAAATCAATTTCTGGCATTATTTCATCACAATTAAGCAACTCCTTTTCCACTTTAATGTAAATAAGTAAAATTAAAGGGGTCATATGATGCAATTTCAAGTTTTCCTTTCTCTTTGGAGTGTTACAAGCTGTTCGTGAATAGATAAGATCCCTAAAGTTGCAAAGACTAAAGTCTCAAACCCAACGAGATATTCTTTATCAAAGTTAAGACTCATCCACACCCTCCTATAACGCCTCATTCAAACACGCCCCCATGTCTATGTCACGATGTGGGAAGATAACACCGCCCAAATTTTCAAGCAAAGAAAGGCGTAACTTTGATTCTCGCTGTAGTGTTGTTACCGCCGCCGTCATGTCGTGGAGATGCTGTGTGTTTCGTTGTGAAAGCGAAACTACTTTGTTTGGCCTTCCAAAAGAGCACACAACTATAAATCAGTGGTTATAGGCACAATATATACTTTTCGCCGCTAGAGGGCGGGTATTCAAAATAATTAGACAAATGCGTAGTTTGATGACGCCGCGACTAAGTGTGGAATCATGGGAGTTGTCGTCTTCATCCCCACAGCCGATGCAATCCAACGGGACTCGGGCAGAAATCATGTTCATGGATGAGCTAATGTATTAAAGATTTATTAACATCGTAGTATGAAGCAGAGTGAGGCGGTAAGCCGTCGAAGCGAAACGAGCGTGACACATGGCTCAAAAGCAGCGGAGCTTTTATTATGCCACAGTCGACCGCTTTCGCTCCTTCCGGTCCTGCGTAGGAAAAAAAAAGCAGCGCTGTTTTATCATACTAGATACATTTGAAAGTTCTGTTATAATGCTACTCTGTGCAGTCCTCACCGGTCTATTAAAACGCACAACATATTAAAGCGTCTTTGCTGTTTCCATGTTTTCTACAAAACAAAACCGGAACTCGAGGGTGTATGACGTCATTGGCAGGTGACACAATGACACTATGGACACGCTCCGTGTCACACACTGTTCTAGTGGTTTTTGGATATTTTAACAAAAAAATCTTACATATTGTGCCTTTAAATTGTATTTACAACACTGTTCCAGAACAGTTCAAACCAAATATTCAGATGTGTGCAGCGCATTTTACGGAGGACAAGGACTGTTTCCTGGGAGAGCGGCCTACAATGCCGGTGTTCCAGTGAATTCAGTTCCCCTATTTCCCCTTCGGCACGCATGCTGACCACAGTCTATGATGCTAACAAATAATGCTGACTCACAGACTGCAAGTATGTTTTCATATTTAAAGGATTTGCCACCGACTATTCAAACACGAGTTTTGAGCAGTGTAGATCAGTGCTAGTTGTTTGTCATTTCTCCGATCACAAATGCAGACATGGTTTTATGTTTACGCAGCGCGATGCAACGCAATGCGTAAAGACAGTATAAGTCATTATAATCAGTAATTATGTCCCCACTGGATGCTACAAATGCCTCGTTTATAGTGGGTTTTATTGGTTTTGTCTTGTCGCATCACAGTATAGTAAGGGGCGTAACATTTCTGTCACATGCTTGAGGTATTCGGCCAAGAGCACACCTCACTTTTCAGACCAATGAGCTTTGTAAAAATCGACGCGTTTCAGAAAGGCGGGGCATAGAGGAGAAACAATAATGTACAGTATGTGGAAAATAATGTGTTTTTTTAACCTTAAACCGCATAAATACATTTCATTACACCAAATAATGTTATTTTGTAGCAACGTCATATGACCCCTTTAAATTTAATTTTTTTAAAAGTCTGTCCAGGCAGGATGTTTTTATATTATAGCAATTAAGAGTTTTAAGAAAATGTACTTAAATGCAAAAAAAAAATCAAAAACATCTTAAAATATGCATTATCGTCTTTATGCAAAATATGTTATTTTGAATTTGGGGTAAAATATAACTTTTTTTTTTTTTTGATTCACACTAATAATGGCTTGTTTTAGTAAGATGGACCGAAAAGAGAAACAAAATATCATAAAACAACATCTTCCCACAAGAATGTAAACACAAAGTTACATGCAAAAGACAACAAATGCAAAACTGATTAAAAAAAGTGACCTCAACAAAAGCACCTTCATTCAGTATACCGCATCTCTCAGCACAAAAAAGATCTATCCAAAATTTTACATTTTCATCCATATGAATATCATATGACAGGTAGCATATTCACAGCAGTAGAAAATTTTTTCAGAAGCCTACAATCTCACAGCAATGGACGCAAGAGAAAGCACTTCAACAGGAGTGACAAGTGTTACAGTATCATACATGATGCTGTGCTCTCCAGACAGCATCACTGTTGATGGCATTATGGGTACACGTGAATCACTCAGCTGCAGAGAGATCATCCTCCTCAGCGTAAGTGCTCCTATAGCTGCCGTTGAGATGAGCTTGAGAAGATCTGTCGTCATTACCCACAGAACCCGACCCATCCATGTCACTGTCATACTCGTGGTCCGCCGGCTCGTAGCCCCTCTCCATCTGAAAAAAATTAAACCGTGAGTCAGGAAAAGACACACAAGAGTAAATCTGACTGAAAGCATCCCATGTCCCCAACACTTAGGCCAGAGTTGCAATAAAGGTTGCGCAATGACAAGGCGTCTAGACATTTGTCTGAATATAAACATAACCACAAATCCATGACATGAGTAACAAGCTGAAGTACTCAAACACCAAATTTGTTTTGCCGGTAACAGAGAGGTTTGCTGAATTGCACATATGAAGAACCAATTATATTTCAGCAAAATGTGTTCTTTTTGTCGGAGGGATTCTCTGCGATTGGTATGAGGTCCTCCCAGCCTTGATTAAAGCATATTCAAAGGCACTGTCTGGAGTCTGTCTGGTTTCTGCTGCGCAACAGGTTAGTGGAACACTAAAGATCTTAGTCCTGAGTGATTGTGTTCAAAGTGATAGTGTTGTCGCCAGTAAACACGCTATAGTATAAACTTTGTAAATGTTGACGCTTTGGGTGTCGCCAGTAGACACCCACAGGTAAACTTAGGTCAGGTGCATAGGGGAATTTCTACAACAATGCATTAAAAATGATCAAAAGTGACAGGAAAGACATTTAGAATGTTACAAAAGATTTCTATTTCACCTAAATGCTATTTTTTCTATTCATCAAAAAATCCTGTAAAATGTAGCATGGGTTCCACAAAAATAGTAAGTAGCAGATCTTTTCAACATTGCTAATAAGCATATTAGAATAACTTCTGAAGCATCGTGTGACACTGAAGTGAATACTGGTGTAATGGCTGCTGAAAATTCAGCTTTGCCATCACAGGAATATATTAAATTTTAAAATAGAAAACTGTAATAATATTTCACAATATTACAGTTTTACCTACTAATATTATTGTAATTTTGATCAATTAAATGTAGCCTTGGTGAAAAAGAGAGCCTTCTTTCAAAAACATTAACATAAATTTTACTGATCAAACTAAATAAAATAAATCTTACCCTAAAGTTTTGAATATATTTTCATAATCATAATTTATTAAATTTCTTGCATTTTAAGTCCATCACTGGCCAATGCTGTGGTCAGTGATGGACTCACATTTATAAAAGTCACATAAATGCATATAAACCAGTTTCTTATCTATAAAACTAGAGCAGCACTCTGAGATACAGCAGAGCTACATGCTGTGCAAATTATTTAAACTAAACACGCACAGTGAGCTCTCTGAGATGCATGGGGAGAAATGAGTACCTCAATATGAGCATTAGAGGTATACAGTAGTTTCCATTTATCACTTCAGCATTCAAATATAATAGCAATACAATATAATAGTATCAATGGAAACTGGTTATTAATCCAGCAAGCTGAATACATAAGAAATTGACATTAGTCAGAAGAAGACATATTGACACTAGCTGTTCTCCCATAACTAAACCCACAATCTGATTAGCACCACACTGCATCAGTCCACACGCCTCCAGAGATTAGCTGTACCTGGTAATAGCGTAGTTTCATGAAAACCACAATATGAATAAAGTGACTGCACTTACATGACGCTATTAACATTATAAGTCACAGAGTATTCGTCATTACCCACAGAACCCGACCCATCCATGTCACTGTCATACTCGTGGTCCGCCGGCTCGTAGCCCCTCTCCATCTGAAAAAAATTTAACCGTGAGTCAGGAAAAGACACACAAGAGTAAATCTGACTGAAAGCATCCCATGTCCCCAACACTTAGGCCAGAGTTGCAATAAAGGTTGCGCAATGACAAGGCGTCTAGACATTTGTCTGAATATAAACATAACCACAAATCCATGACATGAGTAACAAGCTGAAGTACTCAAACACCAAATTTGTTTTGCCGGTAACAGAGAGGTTTGCTGAATTGCACATATGAAGAACCAATTATATTTCAGCAAAATGTGTTCTTTTTGTCGGAGGGATTCTCTGCGATTGGTATGAGGTCCTCCCAGCCTTGATTAAAGCATATTCAAAGGCACTGTCTGGAGTCTGTCTGGTTTCTGCTGCGCAACAGGTTAGTGGAACACTAAAGATCTTAGTCCTGAGTGATTGTGTTCAAAGTGATAGTGTTGTCGCCAGTAAACACGCTATAGTATAAACTTTGTAAATGTTGACGCTTTGGGTGTCGCCAGTAGACACCCACAGGTAAACTTAGGTCAGGTGCATAGGGGAATTTCTACAACAATGCATTAAAAATGATCAAAAGTGACAGGAAAGACATTTAGAATGTTACAAAAGATTTCTATTTCACCTAAATGCTATTTTTTCTATTCATCAAAAAATCCTGTAAAATGTAGCATGGGTTCCACAAAAATAGTAAGTAGCAGATCTTTTCAACATTGCTAATAAGCATATTAGAATAACTTCTGAAGCATCGTGTGACACTGAAGTGAATACTGGTGTAATGGCTGCTGAAAATTCAGCTTTGCCATCACAGGAATATATTAAATTTTAAAATAGAAAACTGTAATAATATTTCACAATATTACAGTTTTACCTACTAATATTATTGTAATTTTGATCAATTAAATGTAGCCTTGGTGAAAAAGAGAGCCTTCTTTCAAAAACATTAACATAAATTTTACTGATCAAACTAAATAAAATAAATCTTACCCTAAAGTTTTGAATATATTTTCATAATCATAATTTATTAAATTTCTTGCATTTTAAGTCCATCACTGGCCAATGCTGTGGTCAGTGATGGACTCACATTTATAAAAGTCACATAAATGCATATAAACCAGTTTCTTATCTATAAAACTAGAGCAGCACTCTGAGATACAGCAGAGCTACATGGCAAATTATTTAAACTAAACACGCACAGTGAGCTCTCTGAGATGCATGGGGAGAAATGAGTACCTCAATATGAGCATTAGAGGTATACAGTAGTTTCCATTTATCACTTCAGCATTCAAATATAATAGCAATACAATATAATAGTATCAATGGAAACTGGTTATTAATCCAGCAAGCTGAATACATAAGAAATTGACATTAGTCAGAAGAAGACATATTGACACTAGCTGTTCTCCCATAACTAAACCCACAATCTGATTAGCACCACACTGCATCAGTCCACACGCCTCCAGAGATTAGCTGTACCTGGTAATAGCGTAGTTTCATGAAAACCACAATATGAATAAAGTGACTGCACTTACATGACGCTATTAACATTATAAGTCACAGAGTATTTGTGTTAATTTACGTAACCTCAAACCAAAATTACTGCACCAAATCACCAATACAAATTCATTTTGCGTGTGTTTCATAAATGAAACTGAATGTGTAAATATAAATGAGATGTGTGTTTGAAATATAAATTGGACAAACCAGTGATGGTTTAGATTTATGTTCATAATCCCTGCTTTTCCTCCTGGACATTGAGCTCTCTGTCCTTTCCCTGCTACGGTCCCGTCCTTTATCCCTCTTTTCATCTTTCTTGCCTCTGAAAATATACAGAAGAGATTAAGATTTTAATAATGAGTCTGATCAAACAATAATGTCAGACACAAATTTTCTCGCACAGTAAACCTTTTAGACGGCGATGGTGATGGGGCTCTCCGCCTTGGTGACCTGGATCGAGAGCTGCTTCTTTTCTTATGGCCTCTGTGAGATAAAGGGAAAAATTATCTTTATCTAAACACACAAGCTAACTTCTAAAAAACCTAGTGCTGTCAAAATTAGCGTGTTAACGCAGGTGATTACTTTTTCCAGTTTAACAATGTTAAAAATATTTAACATTAATAATATTTGATAACTTTTTCAAGTTTAACAACGTTAAAAATATTTAACATTAATAATATTTGATTACTTTTTCAAGTTTAACAACGGTAAAAATATTTAACGAGGTTTACGCAGGCGCGGCGCGGCGCTTGAGTTGGCCACCCCACTCAGACACTGATTTTCAAGCCCAAAGGGGGAACAGAGTCACGTTACAGACACAGTGATGAAGCTGGTATGGTGTTTGCAGTACACAAGCCACGGTTAAGACAGTGACCCTCTCTCTCTCTCTCTCTCTCTCTCTCTCACACACACACACACGATGCGCAAAACTCCGCATTTGAACAGTCAATAGCAAATACTTAAACTAATAACAAAACAGTAGCTGATTCAGAAGCGCCAGATTGCCATTGTAAAGTCAGAATTACCTCCTCTCCTAGGTTCACGAAACGGTCATAAATAAAATGCATTTGCATGCACATTTGGGCGGCATTATGCTAATATTTCCATAGTGACGTAGACATGTGGGGGGCGTGTTAGAACGAGGGGGGCGTGGCAGAGTCTTAACTTTGATAAAGAATATCTCTTTGGTTTTGAGACTTTAGTCTTTGCAACTTCAGGGATCATATCTATGCACAATCAGCTTGTAACACTCCAAAGAGAAAGGAAAACTTGAAATCGCATCATATGACCCCTTTAAGTTCAATTAAATTAGAAGTTATTTTTTAAAGTCTTGTAACTGTTAAAATTAATAGCTCTTAGTAATACTGTAATGTTGAATGGCTATAGTCAATGGTGAAATATTAGGAAAACTTCATAGAGACATTAGTAGTATTGGTATCAGTGATACTTACCTTAAAGGTGCAATATGTAAGATTTTTTTATTAAAATATCCAAAAACCACTAGAACAGTGTTATATATTTTGCTGACTTGTGTACTTACATTATCTCAAATGTTTCGAAGAATGTTTAAATCCAAAGAAATAAGCAATTTTAACCCGTGTCTATAGTGTCATTGTGTCGCCTGCCAATAACGTCATACACCCTCGATTTCCGGTTTTGTTTTGTAGAAAACATGGAAACACCAAAGACGTTTTAATATGTTGTGCGTTTCATCAGACAGATGACGACTGCACAGAGTAGCATTATAACAGAACTTCCAAACGTATCTAGTATGATAAAACAGCGCTGCTTTACCCCACATACGCTCGACCGGAAGAAGCGGAAGCACTAAAGTGTGGCATAATAAAAGCTCTGCTGCTTTCGAGCCATGTGTCACTCTCGTCTCTCATTAGTAATTGCTTCAGCGGCCTCGTTTCGCTTCGACGTCTTTCCACCTCACTCTGCTTCATACTACGATGTTAATAAATCTTTAATACATTAGCTCATCCATGTTCATGAGTCCCGTCGGATTGCGTCGGCTGTGGGGATGAAGACGACAGCTCCCATGATTCCACACTCAGTCACGGCGTCATCAAACTAGGGCTGTCAAAAACAATTAATTTGGAATTTCGAATATTCGTCGAATTAAAAAAAAATCCACATTCAAATGCAAAAATATTGGAATAAAATTTAAGGTCTGCGTCAGCCGTCAGGCAGCCTTATCAGTGGCGCACGAGATGCGATGACGATGTATGTGTCATTGATTGCATTTGAATGCTTTTGTTAGCCTATCCAGTTGAACCCACTAGATGCGGCGCTGCTACGTTGTTCATTCAATATATTGCGGAAAACGAGAGCATCCGTGTGGAGAAGATGTCGGTTTACGTCAAAACTGAAACCAAGCCGTTCACACAGAATGCATATTTATCACATTTTCCAGAGGGACATCTATTAGCGTTGCACTCGTGTCTCGCAGAGAGCGGCATGTTTAGAAAGCCATGTAAAATTAATGCAAGTTCAACTTTTAAAAAACATGTGTAAAGACGTTATGGCAGTTTTTCCCCATCCCACTGTATCTCATGTTTTTAAATGAAGAAAGTAGCCTACTCTTTGTGATTGGTTTTCGGTCCTTTGTATTAAACTATACATACATGCATGGTGCTGTTTTTTTTCTAATTGTTTAAGCAACTTTATTAATTAGATATGGTTTATAAACATTATTTTAAACATTATGCACTTTTTTTCAAAGATAGTCGTGTTATTTTATTACGCTTTGAAGAAACGTGCATAATATTTTGCTCGATGCGCCCTCTTGTGGCCTCAGGAGAGAAGCCAAAAGCTTTTTTTCCCCCTAACTGAAATTATGCCTTTTAAATTTGAATATAATTCAATAATCATATTTAAGTAGAAAATTCGAATTTAGTTCTTCAGTAATTTTGACAGCCCTACATCAAACTACTCCTTTGTTTCTTTGTTTGTTTTGAATACGCGCCCTCTAGCGGTGAAAACGTACATATTGTACCTTTAAGTCCATAAAAAAGATGCCATTAAACAAATATTATAAAAAGGTTAGTTCCATTCCTCGATTCTGATTGGTCAGCAGCTGTGTTTTATTCACGATACAGCACGGCTATATAGACTGAGCGCATTTAGGTCACGCCAACACCGGGGGGTGTCACAATAGAGCAATACCTAAAAGCTGCTATGTGACAAGGTGTACAGTAAGCTAAAATATGTATTTTAGGTATGAAAATGACATTTTGAGTTTTGATATTTGGGATTGCGCTACTTCGGCATTACTTTAACCAACAAACAACCACACCCCAGCCCCCCGCCACTGGGTGCCACTGTCCTCTTTTTAAAAAACTAAAATATGGTCACCCTACATTAGATGAGGCATGTTTGGAACATTCTCTTGCCATTTACTATTGCTTTCAGGAACAATTTTTTAGCAGAAGGACAGCATTTAACGAACTTGCTTAAAAAAAAGTAAAATTTCAATACATACATTTTTGGTTTTAAATGGGTCATATGATGCGATTTCAAATTTTCCTTTCTCTTTGAAGTGTTACAAGCGCTTGGTGCATAAAGAAGATCTGTAAAGTTGCAAAGACTAAAGTCTCAAATCCAAAGAGATATTCTTTATAAAAGTTCAAAGTAAACCACCCCTACCTAAAACGGCTCGTTCTAACACGACCCCACATGTCTACGTCACGATGTGGGAAGATTTGCATAACATTATTATATTTTTATGACATATGCGGAGCTAAACTCTGGAGACGAGACTTATGACAGATAACATGTTACTAAATAAATACACGATTGTGATAGAGAATAAGAAGCTGATGTCTGATTTCTTCAAGCGGTCGTATTTACCATGTTTACTATGGTAACATTAATGGCTAGCGTGCATAGTCTTTTGCATCGCTTATAAATATTTCTGCCTTGTATGGTGATCATAATCTACATTGGATCAAGTTATTTCAAACACTCGCTGCTGTCTGAAAATGAGTTTTGAGCTCAACTGATTTTGAAAGTCTTTAATGCTGATGTTATAGCTGTTAACTTTATGAAATGATCCGCGGCGCTGACGCTCTCCAGACACGGAGGAACTCCGCCTTTTTCTTCATAACCACTCCTCTTGCCCCAGCTGGCCCACTTTGGCCCAAGGTTTTTGTCGGGCCAAAAAACCCGGGCTGTTGGCCCCGAGTGACAGTGGAAACGCGACTGGCCCTGGCACGCACTAGCACGCCCGCTTTTGGCCCGATAGCGGAAACGTGGCTATTGGTCTCCACCCCATCACTGAAATTTAACTGTGTTAAGTAAAAAAAAAAAATCTAAATGACAGTCATTTCCCAGCAGAAACATACATGCTATAATGTGTTTCAATGGGAGTGTGTGTGGGTATGTGAGTTTTTTGTGCATTGGGGACATTCTGCAATCTCAGCCCTTCGTTTGGGTATGCATCTTTCCTGGATTGTGTCAGATTTTGTATAGTAAAAAAAAATCGAATACATTTTTAAAAAATGCTGGGGGTTTTTTCGGACATACCATTCATTCCTATGGCCGGGTCAAAATGATCCACAAGGGACTCTTTTGTTACACCCACATTGAATCCTCGAATAGACAAAAATTTTTTTTTGTGTTCCATGCTCAAGTGTGACAAAATTAAATAAAAAAAATACACAGTTTTTTCGTCAATTCCATGCTTGTCCAGTGGCGGGTCAAAATGACCCGCGAGGGACACTTTTGATACTTTTTATATAACACCCACTTAAACTGCTCGAATTCACTCAATTTTTTTTTCGTGTATTCCCGGTTCAAGTGTGACAAAAGTCACAAAGTTTCATACCATAACGATCAACGTTCGATTTAAAAAAAATCTTTAAATATGAGTTTCGGATCAAAATGACCCGAGGCACGGATAAATATACTCTCTATAAAACTATACTTTATGTTGTTTCTACATTAATTTGAAGATTGAATGTGAAATTATTGCAATTTAAAAGTATATTTAAAAACTTTAAATGTTAGGTGGGATTAATCACGATTAATTTCAGAAAAAAAATGAGATTAATTCATTATTTTTTTTTAATCGATTGAAATCACTAAAAAAACTAGTACCTTTTCCCCAGTAAAAATTATCCTTCCAACTAAATGTATACATTGATATAAAATCGTATTATAAGACTCATTTTTACAGAATATCTTGGAAAAGCACTAAGGGTGGCCACTCAAAGGGTGGGGGTGGGGGGGGGGGAGGAGAGAATAAGCAGCTATCTCTTTTTACTGATACTGTAAAAGTGTTTTTTTCTTATTTCATTAACTTTTTTAATTGTTAAACATCACTAAATGATTGTTTTATTTCTATATTCTTCTTTTTTGCATAGTAGGTGATATTTTGAGCATGCAAACTTTGTTTCAGGTTTAATACGGACACTTTCTTCTGACCTGCTTATGCTGCGGGAACGTCTAGGGCCACTGAAGCCTTTAGGAGGTGTCCTTCCCTTTTTGTCCCATGGCCTCTTTTCTTCCCAGTCATTTTCCTTCCTTACTTTGCCATCCTTGTCCTTCCTTTGGTCCCTGTGTATAAGAAACAACACTGGTCTAAAATGTCCTTTGTTGGACAAAAACAGAATATGAGTGTAAAGAGGCCGATATTGTGGTGCAGGTTAACCTAGAATAAGATCGACTTCGGCTGTGTTTCCTTTCTCGGGAACGTGAGCGCCTCTTATGGGACCCACGGGAGTCATTCACCTTCTGCCGTGATCTTTGGGACAGGCGTCCCCTTTAAACATCATTGAAAAAAAAAGTAATTTTTCCATTACTACAGTGAACATTGCTAGATACTAACATTAAAAATAGAGTGGAATTTATGTCCGAGCATATCTAACAAGCAAAGCTCAGGTTATTTAATACAGCGTATCTGCGGAAATCTTAAAATCAAATTTACAACTCTTTTTTTTTTTTTTAAGATCTGAACCAATAAAATGAATATTGTTTGTTGATACAGAAGAAACCGGAGGAGTGAATAAGCAGCTATCTCTTTTTACTGATACTGTAAAAGTGTTTTTTTCTTATTTCATTAACTTTTTTAATTGTTAAACATCACTAAATGATTGTTTTATTTCTATATTCTTCTTTTTTGCATAGTAGGTGATATTTTGAGCATGCAAACTTTGTTTCAGGTTTAATACGGACACTTTCTTCTGACCTGCTTATGCTGCGGGAACGTCTAGGGCCACTGAAGCCTTTAGGAGGTGTCCTTCCCTTTTTGTCCCATGGCCTCTTTTCTTCCCAGTCATTTTCCTTCCTTACTTTGCCATCCTTGTCCTTCCTTTGGTCCCTGTGTATAAGAAACAACACTGGTCTAAAATGTCCTTTGTTGGACAAAAACAGAATATGAGTGTAAAGAGGCCGATATTGTGGTGCAGGTTAACCTAGAATAAGATCGACTTCGGCTGTGTTTCCTTTCTCGGGAACGTGAGCGCCTCTTATGGGACCCACGGGAGTCATTCACCTTCTGCCGTGATCTTTGGGACAGGCGTCCCCTTTAAACATCATTGAAAAAAAAAGTAATTTTTCCATTACTACAGTGAACATTGCTAGATACTAACATTAAAAATAGAGTGGAATTTATGTCCGAGCATATCTAACAAGCAAAGCTCAGGTTATTTAATACAGCGTATCTGCGGAAATCTTAAAATCAAATTTACAACTCTTTTTTTTTTTTTTAAGATCTGAACCAATAAAATGAATATTGTTTGTTGATACAGAAGAAACCCATACAATCTCAAAATAATTCAGATTATTTTACTTAATTAAACAGGTTGGGGCACATTTTCAATGAGGACTTATATCAGCAAAACGGGGTAACATGTTTTGATTTAACGTGTATTGAAATTGGATTATGTACCAATTTATCAGTGCATCCAAATTAGAAGTTGGTGCAAAATGCCAATAATAACAGAGAGGAAAATGTGCACAATATGGTTATTTTAATAATAAACAATCTGAAATACACCAGGACTCTTATATTGGAATGTCTATGCTTAACTACTTCCAGATGCTCATTCAAATTCACATGAAGGAAATAAAAATATAATTACATACATTGTTAGTAGCATGTTTGTTTTTATTAGTGCATCTTGTATAACTTCTGTAACTACCGTACTGGCCCGAATATAAGACGACCCCCCTTTTCCCAGATGTACCTTTTGGAAAAAGGCTTTTTAAAAACCAAATCATGTCTTTTTTCTCAGTAAAACACATTTTGTCTTCAATTATTTTCATATTGCATATTTTTCCTATTTAAATTTTTGTTTTGAAAGTATGGTAAAAACTGGTAAAATGTACCAACAATCACATTTAAAAAATATACACTTTTTGATATACCATTAAAAAAAAAGAAAACAGGTAGCCCATCTGAATTAGGACATTTAGGCTATCCATCTAATAGTAGCCTACCAAAATCGTATTAACAGTAGAAGTTAAATCTTACTGTAGTCTTCAAATCTGGGTACTGTCTTGCGTTTTAAAATCACAAAGGGAGTTTGGTCCCATCAGGCTAACGTGACAGTCACAACTCATGCAGCTGTAAGGTTTTCTGCTTCTTTTGTTTTTCCTCGCGATCTTTACAACACGCATTACATTACGTATTTCATGGCACACTCGTTTTATGCGTATTTGGCGCCACCTATTGTTGTGGGTGTATTATTGACATGTCAAAATCTAGACCCTGAATATAAGACAACCGCGTTTTTTAAAGATGTACTGTATTTCCAAGAAAAAAATATTGTCTTATATTCGGGTCAATACGGTAATTACTTTTTCAAAAGGTTAGCTTGAGAGTACATTACCTACTTAACTGTGAGTAGCCTGTAGCTTTAGCAAGCTCTTAAGCTTGCATGAGTTAACATGGAAAGCATGTTTAAGGATGTGTGTAATTTACCTGTGCCTGGATCTGGATCGCTTTCTACGTGAGTGTGATGGGGAGCGAGAGTGAGATCTGGACCGTCTAGATCTACTGGATGAAGGATTTTTATTTTCTGGAAGAAACAATCAAAACACTCATCAATTAAAAAAAATGTCAAGAAAGCCTCACTCTGTTTGTGCGTGTCCAGGCTAGAGGACATACCTGGCTCGATAACAGCAGCAATGGTTGACTGAGCCTCTCTGACTTTCTTCATCACGTCCTCCAGTTCTTTGGCTGCAGCTTGAGGTGTGAGCTCTGGTGGCTTCACTATGGCATTATTGGAGTGGTTAATCCTAAAAAAGTTGATTAATAACTATTAAAATACATAATGCTAGCACATAAAGATAAAAGCATATAAAAAAGATAAAAGCACATAAAAAAGATAAAGATAAAAAAGGAGGCACTCACTTTAGTGGTCTGTCACCAAACATGACTCCATTAAATGTAAGCGCTCGTGCCACCAATTCCTGATCAGCAAACTCCACAAAAGCAAAACGTGTAGGCTGGGTTTCATCTCCTGCCATTCTAACAAACTTAACATCTCCCACTTGCTTGAAGAACTTGAGGAGCTGCTCTGCTGTGGTGCTCTACAGGACATTGACAAAACAAGTACAATGTGTGTTTGAAAGACAAAAGCAAAGTGTCATTTTTGATGCCCACTTTAATTACATTCAGTTGTCTACGCATTTGTCATGTAGTGGCAATAACAATTATGTTGGGGCAACTTGGACCTTCATTCTTGAGCCTTCAATGACACCTTGATTATTTCAGCTTAATCCATACTGTTTTATAATGTACTACAAATACACTGAGCTGCAAATAGTATCTGCCACTATGTAAGTATTAGTATCCAACACTATCTGCACCTGCAAATAGCCTCAGAGTGAATTCAATTCATTTTCACATACCTGTGAATTCAAATTGCCGACATACACCGTCCTCCTGATCTCATCAATTTTAGAAGGATCTACATTTCCCATGAGCGGAGGCTGTGAAGCAATTGCATTTAGAGCCGCCACAGATGTGTCCAAACTAGAATTCAGGACCCCCAGATTAGCTAAAGGAAGACCACGCTGTCGGCCAACAAATATAAGACTTTAGTGACAACTGACAATTCGAAATAAAACAATAAAACTGTAGCATGCAGCTGATGATGTAGGTGACATTTTTTCATAATTCAGTAAAGGCTGGAATACACTACACAACGTTTACATTTGAAAAGAATTTAAAACACTAGGGATGATACACTTGACTACTTTGAAAATGAAAAACTTGTCATCATATACTACCAGACTTTCAAGTCATTGCTGACCCAACAAATCATGCAGAAACACGCGGCTCATTATTAGGAGACATGCGAGACATAAAAACGATATGTGACCCAGGACCACAAAAACAGTCATAAGGGTCAGTTTTTTTAAATTGAGATTTATACATCATCTGAATAAATAAGCTTTCCATTGATGTACGGTTTGTTAGGATAGGACAATATTTGTCCAAGAATATTTAGGCAACTATTTGAAAATCTGGAATCTGAGGGTGCAAAAAATCTAAATATTGAGAAAATCACCTTTAAAGTTGTCCAAATTAAGTCCTTAACAATGCATATTACTAATCAAAAATTAAGTTTTGATATATTTACAGTAGGAAATTTACAAAATATTTTCAGGGAACATGATCTTTGCTTAATATCCTAATGATTTTTGGCATAAAAGAAAAATCGATAATTTTGACCCATGCAATGCATTGATGGCTACTGCTACAAATATAGGCCCTACCCGTGCTACATATGACTGGTTTTGTGGTCCAGGGTCACATGTGTTCTAAAAAATATCAATTTAAACATTCTGCGACTGGATGGAATCATAATCTAAAGCTAAAAACACATCTATTGCCCATCACACATTACGCGACGTTCTGTGAAAAGTGCCAACTTCGACAGCCCAAAATCTGCAAACTTGCTGCCTTTTACCAACTACCACTGGCTCCTCCAAACAGCAAATCTGGGCAAAAACCTGGGAAAAAGAAGTGTAGTGTATTCCAGCCTTAAGTTGCGAGATTGTGTTTTTACATTCTGTAGTGTAGTGGGGCTAGGAATGGGCAGAAGTCCTCCTCCGCTCATCAGGCTGGCCACTGGCACGGCGGGGGCCAAAAGCGAGAGCGCCTTTGCCTCTTCAGGGATTTTTCCTGAATAACAAGAGCACCGGCATTAGAGAGGCCAATGGAGACATCTCCAGCTGCCTCACCTATGACCCAAGATTCAGACGAGGGTCCTCCAACAGCCTAGCGCTCTAACACCCACCCTAAGCATCTCCAACCCCGACCATGAACAATCTGAACTAGCATAGCTACTCTTTTTACTATCAACACAAGACATACTGTAAACGGGATGACTTTTGCACAAAAACAGAGAAAAGAACATTGTGATTTGTTCTTTTCGCTCTTAAAAAAAAAAATCAGAACAGAACATGTAGAGAATGAGTTAACACTTTGTGGTATGGGTCACCTGTACTGGAAACATATTGGTCATGAACCATACGATATCAAGCATGGGCGCTTTTCTCCCTGGGGCGATCGTGTCGCAGTGTTGGAAAGGGTGTGCAACACAAGACAACCGTTCATGTTGGCTGCATCACACTAATAGCACATAGAACATCAGATACAGAAAAGAAGAACATTTTAAGTGTCTTTGAGAAATCCTCCCTCAAATTGTCTCCCCTAAAAATTATTGCCTTCACAATAAAGTTAACAACAAATCATTTTTCCAAATATGTTTCAGCCAATATTGGTATAATATACAGTATATACGCATGCTTTGTGCTTACAATGACTATAGTATTCATGGGTAAACTGACTGTTGGTTGGTATATCTGTGCTTTTGTGTTAAGTGAAGAACTAAATTAAAACCTCAAATGTCAGCCACTTCAGTACTACTCTAAAGACAATGTTCCCCAAAACCATGCAACGGAGTTAAACTTGTGTTGTGAGCTTTTGTTAGAAGAACGATTTTATTTCTTGTCATTACAGTGAATTGAACAAAAGTCTTTACTAGCAATTCTGTAATTTTACTGAATTACAGATGCTACACAGGCACTGTTAGTAAATATTAGGGCTGCACGATATTGGAATAAACTGATATTGCAATATTTAGTTTTTCAGAGATATAAAAAATTTTCACCAAATGACTTGAATAGCTCAATTTGAAAATAATGAATAATTCTAGAATGTCTGGTGTGCTTTTTGTAGGGCAGCAGTTAATGAAACAAAAAAAAAAATCAGAAAATTACTTCTTTTTTTTTATTAAAAAAATTCCCTGAGTCTTCACATGCCGCACCAACTACAAATACACACACATTCATTTTTACTGATTATTACATAAAAACACTTAACAAGATAAGAAATATATTGCATTAATATTATTATAATGTAATAATTAAAAAAATCTAATGTGTTGCAATATGTTTCAAAAATAAATATTAAAACTTGATTTAATAGCATGTCTGTAAAATTACAATGCTATTATTTACATATTTACAAATGTTAAAACTATTAGGCTTAGAAACATCAAGCTCCACACAAGTAAATGAACACAGTGCTACGCTTCACTGCAAAACCCATAGCACATTTATTTATTTCATTAAATGGCAACTTTGCTATTTTTATATTCGCACTTAGACATATTGCGATGCCAATTTTATTGACAATTGCATGCAGCCCAAGAAAAGATGTATTTAAAAAAAATACTCAAAGAGAACCTGTTTTAGCTTACAAACTGAAAAACTGAAAGTCCTGATCTCAATCCAACATTGAATAAGCAGCTATATTTGAGCATCAAATGACTAAAGATAACTATATACTGTTCTCAAAATGTAAGTCATTGCTACTAAAAGTTTTTCAAGAATTAAAAAAATAGATTATATAAATAACTAACAAAATAATAATTAAGAACATTTAAGGATATTTTCTAACAAAGCCTGACATTCAATTTAATGCTTTGAGAAAAAAAAAAAATTATTTCAGTACTTATAATTCAGTAAAAACAGAAAATTGGTGTACTTTTGTGAGACAATGTGTGGTTATATTAAATAATGAAGGAATATAGAATTTTTCAAGTAAAACCCTGAGCAGATCAGTGGAGAGGAGCGAGAGAAAGAGAGAGAGGAAGAAATCTTAATGCATTAGATATCAGGAAGAGCTGCCCTTGTACCGTTCAAACTTCCCTCCAATACTGGGCGGCAAGTCAACCTGGACAGCATTCAAAGACAGGCAAAGGGGTGCAACTGTGGGATTGGGGACGAGGGACAAGGGGACAGGAAAACAAAAAAAGAAAAACAATACAATGAATATGCAACTCTTCTAAGAGGCAAAAAAGGGACAACATGTGAAATAAAAAAAGGAAATGAAAATAAAATAAAATAAAATAAAAAGAGACAAGGTGTCCATCTCGGAAGGTTCAGCGGCTACGCTCCTGGTCACATTCCCCCCTTGAAGGCAGCGTGGGCCCCGGCGGGTATAGTGGCTTGGAAAACAAAGCCTTGAGTCAGGCTAGTGTAGTAGTGTAGCCTGGGTCACTCTAGTCATCTGATATGCACACATAATCAACACAGAAAAAACATACAGAAACCAAATTAATCAACGTAGTAAGCCATCCAGAACCAAGTCACGAGGACAAGCATTTTAGGCAAGAGGGAAGCTTCGATACCATGTTTTTCATGAATACGGATGTTTACACTAAAAAAAGTAAAAAAGACAAAAAAAAAATCTAGTGGTTAGTCGGTGGTTGCACAGTAAACTTGAGAAGACCTCACCCTTAAACATTGTACCCTTTGCCTTCATACTCTGTTTACAAATGCTTGTTTTATAATTTGCCTTCCCTTTGCATAAAAAGGGTACAAAAACAAAGCTTGAAACTTATTTATTTTTTTAAACAAGTGATCTATTGTTTCTTGCTCAATGAATGAAAGTGCTTAACCTTCAGAAATCTAACTTAGGAAGCAAAACTAAATGTTTTATTAGATTTTTTTAATATGCTATGTGACATGTCTGAACGCAGTTTAAAACTTAAAACTAATTAATGTTATTTTCCATTTTTCCTTATTTGCAATACAGATTAACCAAACAAATTAAGCAAATAAAATGTATACCCCCCCCCCTTAAAGGTGCAGTAGGAGACCTTGGAGAAAATGCTAACTTTAGCCTGATAGCACTGAAAGCAAACGTCCCATCCTCCCTGCAATTGCCGTCCAAAGCCACGCCCCCTGAGCGCAAGAATACACACACAGACCAGACGACCAGAGACAACATTACTACAATACATCATGTGTTATTAACCAGTGAGAAAACTTTATATTACAGTTAGTAAAAGTACTACAATACCAGGAAGGAAGATCAGGTTGTTGATGTTTGCCTGCCATTCTTGCTTTGTCTGCACATCGTACGTGAACGTGCTGATGACGTATCCGGTCAGCACGAACAGGGTGCGCAGAGGTATGCAAATACATATGTTGACAGGCAGGTAGGAAAGCCAATCAAAATGCTCGGACTGAGCGTTTTGGTTGGACGAACATTTCTTAGTCCTACGCCTTCCACAGAATATATAAATACATTTAGACCACTTAACTTAATGATTGCTATCGGCATTTGAAGAGACAAATTTTTCTGAAGACAATCACCTATTGCACCTTTAATACTAACAAAAAATATTTATACAGTGCCATGAAAAGGTTTTTGCCCCCTTCCTGTTTTTTTTTTTTTTTTT